CAAAAAGGAGAACAAGGTTCCTGAATAAGCGGGAAATAGTGGCTTAGGAAAAGCAAAGTTACAAGTTCCTTTCTAACTTGATCACACAGATAATGAAGAGAACATACTCACTTGAATAATGTCTTTAGTTTGCTTATGTATTGTAGGATGTAAATTTAGGGAGATGTTTTTGTTCAATTGGCTTGTTGAATAGGCATTTAATTAAAAAATGAAGCTAGAATTTAGCCATTAAAAAGGAATTGGCTATAAAAGTGGGTAATTTTTACAATTTGTAAGTTCTAATTGCATATTCAAATTTATAATTTTATATGCTGTTTTTTTTTTAAACCAGTTAAGCTAAAGTCAATATTACATGATGCTCTAATTACTAATCTACTGTCTTTGAGGTTTGCTTAGTTCTTTGTACTGATGCCATTTTATGGTCACAGATTATGGAAATAGTGCCATAATGTTTTGACTTGTTTGCTTAATTTTTTTTTTTAGAAATGTTTTTAAGATTTATATATTTATGTAGTTTATGTATATGAGTGTTCGATCTGCATGTATGCCTATATGACAGAATAGGGCATCAGATCCCATTACAGGTGGTTGTGAGCCAGCATGTGATTGTTGGGTATTGAACTTAGGACTTCTGGACGAGCAGACAGTGTTCTTAACTGCTAAACCATCTCTCTAGCCCCCACCCTTTTTTATTTTTCAAGACAGGATTTTTCTGTGTAGCCTTGGCTGTCCTGGACATGCTTTGTAGATCAGGCTGACCTGGAAGTCATAGTGATCTGCCTGTGGTTGCCTCCCCAGGTACTGGGATTAAAGGTGTGTGCCACTGCTCCCAGCTTTTGCTTAAAAATTTTGACTTAGTCTTTTGCACATTAAAAAATTCAGTATTAGGCTGGTTGTGGTAGCACACGCCTTTGGTCCTATCATTCAGGAGGCAGAGGCAAGTCAGATCTTTGTAAGTTTGAGGGCAGCCTCATCTACAAAGTCAGTTCAGACTTTCTCTGTGTAGCCAGAACTACACAGAGAAACCTTGTCTCAAAACAAAAACAAAAACAAAAACAAATTCAGTTTTTAATAAAAAAAAATGCAAGTTAATAGTTGGTCAAACTTGTGGTTTTATTAGGTACTAGTTTAGTTAATCACAGATGTTTTCTACATTAATCAGATTGAAAATAAGTAGAGACAAGTAACATTTGCCTATTCAAATACACTAGATAGATAGATGGTATTCAAAAACCTCAGAGATCTATAGAATAGGTATTTAAAGATGTTTTACTAATTTAAGACTTTTTTGACAATGAAAAATGTCAACTCCTGGCAGCACCCCCATAACATTTCAAAGACGATGATGAGCACTGAAGAACCTCCTTATGGAGTTTGCTTCAAACGTGGCAAGCTGCCACTGGGCGAGAAACTGCCATTGCCTCAACTGCTGATAGTATGCTGTCTAAGCTGTGGACAAGCACAACACAAAGAAAGTTGACTGCTGAACTTTGCCAGGACAAGGTAGAGAAGTCCTTAATTCTTGCTTCACAGAAAAATCTGTCAAATAATCTGGGCCAGTAGGCCAATGAGATGGATGCACCAATATTGCAGAGAAAGCTTGGGTGATTGTTTAAATGGCCAACAGTGTCTGTCATTTCTATAGACTTAAGAGCTGCTTTCTCTGCACTTCCTGTTTATTCAGATACTATTTATTTTTCTCAGGCTTCTGATAGGGTTGAAGACTAGATAGTTATAGTCTCATAGTTACGCTTAAGTTGTTTGGAATTAAAAAAATTGTTTTTAGGTCTAAAAAGATGTTTTTAGGATGATAAATGTAACTTATGATAGAAAGTAATTTGAGGGGGTTGGAGAAATGGCTCAACAGTTAAGAGGACTGTCTACTCTTCCAGAGGTCCCAAGTTCAATTCCCAGCAACCATATGGTGGCTCACACTATCTATATTAAAATCCCACACCCTCTTCTGGCATGCAGGTATACATGCAGATAGAGCATTCATATACATAAAATAGACAACTCTTAAGTGATTTAGGTACAGAACTTTGGACTCCCCAAGATAGGATAGATAGTAGAGTACTTTCTCCGAGGTTGCTAAATACAAATGGACCAGACATTGTGAATGTCATTCTTACCAGATAGTATATAGCTTGGTGATGTTAGAGAAAGACTCTTTTATTTAGACACAAAGGGGAAAATGCAGAATATTTGATCAATTTTATACCCAGAGATTTGAACTGCATTCCAAGCACCTCTGTCCCAGCCAATAATGTACACCCATCCCGAAAACCCTACCCACTCCCCAAGGTTTATATAGCCCTAGTTGGGCCTGAATAAACATGACCTCTCTCTGAAACTGAGAAGTCTTTCCAGAAGTATTTTCCCCATACTCCTGGCTGCCTGGATGCTGCTTGAAGCTTCTGCTCCCCTTGCCCTCCTGGTTTGGTGGTCAGTGACCACGGAGGAAGGGGTGACCCACAGCTGTGTGGCTTGGAGTCTGGAATAGGGGTAGAGGTGTGGGGAAACTCTGAGGGCAATGACAGGGCAGAGGCAGGGACATCAACAAAGTGTGGTGCCCCGTGTTGGGAGGGGCAAAGGTCAGGGTAACTGCATAAGGCTGGGCCAAGGAAAGGAATGAGAAGAACCAGGGCAGGGGGTGGGTGGAGCCAGGATGGGTGGGAGGGGCTTGATGAGTGTGGAGGCGTCTCTGTCAGTGACAGGCCAACCCTGAGGTGCCAGAGTTTCACCCAGACACCATGGTGCATCCACAATGTACAGGCCAACCTGACTTTCACAAACCCACACAGCTATGAGGACTTCTCCGAACACACACATGCAAAGATGGTAGCCACACTGACACACATGTTACACATGCCCCAAACATGTAATATACCAGCCACACACAGGCCACATCCCTCAAATATACACCCACATACTGCTCAAAGCATACAATTAGAGTCAGCAAGATGAAACCCCCGTAACTGCTCGCTGACAACCCTCTGACCTGTGTTCACTCGACACATGATGGCAGGGGAGACCAATTCTCACGTTGTCCTGATTGCCACCTATGCACTGTGACATATGTAGATAGACAGACACACAAAAATGAAATGTGATAAAACATTCTTACAAGGACACAATTACACAGACATGTACAGTGTCTGCAAATACCTGCTGAGCCTTCCCCGGAGCCCTCGTTTTTTTTGTTTTTTGTTTTTTGTTTTGTGTGTGTGTGTGTGTGTGTGTGTGTGTGTTTATGATAGAGCCTCATGTAGTTTAGGCTTACCTTGAACGCATGACCCTCCCGCCTCTACCTCCCAATTAGAGGGATGGCAGGGATCACCACTAAGACCTGTTTACACAGAGGCCTGTTGCGTGCTGGGCCGGCCCTCTACCAGGAGTCCCACCTGAGAACGTTGATGCCGCTGTGCAGTGAGGCCCTGTCTCAACCAAACCAAACAAACTTCCTTACAAAGGATTGCATGTGTGTATGTGTGTGTTTTCAGACAGTCTCTCTCAGTTCCCAGGCTGGCCTGGATATCACTGTAGCCCTGGAACTCCAGATCTTCCAGCCTCAGCTTCCTGATACGTGGATCACAGGCTTGCTCCACCAAATGAGGATGCCAGAGCACAGAGAGGCCCAACTTCCAGTCCAGGGACAAACAACTACACAAAGAAACTCCACCTAGAGAGGGTGGGGGTAGAGAGGGATTTAAACAATGAAAAGAAAGAAAAACGTTTTTACGGAGAGGCCTAAACATTTGTTTGCCGAAGAACAGCGAGCAATAGGGAGGAGTTGGAAGTCAAGTCACTCCTATCCAATAAAACTGGGAGGAGCATGAAAACACTGAGGTCGAGAGACTCCTTCACTTCTCCCAAATGACAGGCCAGCGACGCCTCAGCAGCTGGGAAAGTGTTGAGACATTTCGCTGACGTTGTGCAGCTGAGAGAGGTGTGAGCAGCGGTAGCTGTGCCTTATTGTGAAAGACCCCATATCACCCTGAGTTAAACAGAGTTAGACATAGCTAATGCCATTTTGCAGTGTACACCACAGTTCTGGGAAAAATAGTAAAGGCCGGATGGGAACTAAAAATTACTCTGAGAAAATCCAGCAGCTAAGTCAGTCACTCCCCTCAAGATTTCTGCGGTCAAGGCTGCCCTAGCTGAGCCAAAAACAAAACAACTTTGTCCTGACCACCCTCATGGGATGTCTGACAGGTGGTCCGGCTGAGATAAGAGTCCTGGGAAAAGCAACATATGGCGGCACTAGTCAAGGCCGTCGTAATTGTTATGACCACCCAGTTCCTGGAATTCTGATGTCCCTGCCAACTTGATTCATGTTATGGTTTCATGTAAAAGAGCCAATCAGTTCCCTGTAACTATGCCTCTCGCTTTGCTTCTGTATCAGTGCTTCTGCTCAAACCCTATAAAAAACCCAGCTTTCTGCCCGGAAAGGCGCGTAAAGTCATCTGAGTGACTTTCTGCCCGGGTACCTGTGTATCCAATAAAGCCTCTTGCTATTTGCATCCGAAAGCCTGGACTCGCTGATCTTTGGGAGGGGGTCTCTCAGACGAAAGATACCCCCTGGGGGTCTTTCAATTGAAGCTGCTGATGCCGGGTGACTATCACTCAGGTGGTTTAAATTTGCCGTGACTGGGCTGGCCTCACAGCTGTGAGGCGGGAGGACCACACAGCGCACCCTGTGTAAGCCAGAGGCCCTGTGCCCAGAACGAAGGGGCAGTGCCTGCTGAGGGCAGGAAAAGCGCAGGGACGACGCTGTAGTCCAGGCGCAAGTTCCACCGCAATGCCCGACCCCGCAGTCTCCACAGACCCGTGCCTGAGATGGAAGCAGGGCTGGGAGCCTCTGTGCTGAGACACTTAGGGCCCTAAGGGAGATGCTCCTGTCACTCAGACCGCAGTAGCCAATCAGCGCCTCTAGACGAACCCTCCAGTCAGAACAGGGGGCACTTCCGGTCCGCCATACTGAACGCTCGGCGAAGGGACCGAGGGAGGCTCCTGGTCCCGAGAGCCGCGCGGCGAGCCGCTGCCGGGAGCCGAGGCGAGCGGGGCGAGCTCGGAGTCCGCGCCATGGTGAGCGGGGCCGCCGTCCCCACGCGGGGAGGAGCCGCGGGAGCCCGAGTGGGTTCGCCCCGGGGGCGGGGACCGGCGGCGAGGCGAGGGGCGGCGCCGCGTGACTCAGTTTGTTCCCTGAGGTTCCTGCACCTCCCAGGCGGAAGCGGGACCTCTGAGAGACTGAGCTTCCCTGACTGCGCCTGCGCACAGCACGGGGTGCGGGAGCTGTTCAGAAGCTACTGCGTCTCGAGAGCGGGCGCATGCGCGGCTTTCACTGTGGCCAGAGATGGGTAGATTTGCTGAGTCACAGAGGTCTAGTTTCTCTAGTGTATTCACGTTATCCTTGACATGCGGGTGTAGGATCCGTCTGCAGTTAATTCTGTGCAGGTGGAAAGTCTGTTGTAGAGGAGTTTTAATCAAGAAACATGGCTGCTTTGACAAGGGATCACATCCCAAGACCTAGGTCACACACCTTAAATCCCTCCGCTTGAATACAGACACGCCCTTGGTGCACCCCTTTAATCCCAAGCAATGAAGGTAAATTAGTTTGTAGAAGGAAGCTGGGGTGGTAGCTAACCGAGAGGCTGACAAGTGACTAATCTAAGATTTGAGAAAATGAGCCAGAGATAGGAGACACCCAACGTTTACGAAAAGAGACAGGAAAAAGGACTTAGAGCAAGGCAGAGAAAGGGAGAAGGCAGTTTTACTGGGACAGTTGTACAGAGGTTACAGAGAGAGACAATAAGCCAGAGGATTGAAGGAGCCAGAGAACACTAGAACAGATTGCTAGAGTTAGAGACCAAGCAGAGCAATTCAGACAGAAGCTGAGAGAAGCCAGATTGAATCAGTCAGCTTGAAGAGGAGTTTGAGCCAGACAGCCACATTGAACCAGAGTTCAGAAAGAGCTAGAAAGGATGAAAAGACTCTAGGTTTAGATATATATTATATGGAGGCTAGAAGCTTCAAGGACTAGGCCTAGGTTAGTAGATAGAGGCAGAAAGCCTCCAAGAGGACAATTAAAAAAGGCAAATAAAAGTTACTTTTATTTATTAATATACACTGTTATTAACATATTCACATGTAGATACCAAGGTGTCTCATGTGTTAGAAAGGCAAGAATTACTGGGTTTCCTGGCCTCCTGTCAAAATTGACCATATATATATATATATATATATATATATATATATATAATTGTTTTTTAAATTAATTTATTTTTATTTTATGTACATTGGTGTTTTGCCTGTGTGTGTTTGTGTGTGTGTGTCAGATGCCCTGGAACTGGAGTTGCAGACCATTGTGAGCTGCCATGTGGGTGCTGGGAATTCAATCAACCTGGGTCCTCTGGAAGAGCAGCCAGTGCTCTTAACACTGAGCCATCTCTTCCACCCCCAAATTGACCCAGTATTGTGTTTTTCTCTCTCAGTGTTCTTTTGAACTCTATTCTTTCCCAAACAGCCCAGTCTTTATTGCAGGTGTATATGAAGTTTTGAAGTCAGGTGGTGGCTCTGTGTGTTTATTCAGTCATGTATTGGTCGTATTTTTATTCAGGATGACCTTTTGTTATCAGGTTTCAGTTGTTCATGGCATAAATTGTGAGACGTTTTGTTTTCTGGAGACAGGGTTTCTCTGTGTTGCTGTAGCTGTTCTGGAACTGTTCTGTGTAGACAACACTGGCCTGGAACTCATGGCGAGATCCCTGCCTGTACCCCCCCAGTACTGGGATTAAAGGCGTGCACCACCACTGCCCAGCAGTTGTTTTACTTTGTATTGGTGTTTTGTTAAATCTGTAGCTCAAAATGTGTAGTCAAATAATTGTGAGGCTTCCTGTCTACAATCATGGAACTTCTCTTTTTTGATTGATTTTTTTATTTTTTTAGTTACAAAGTTATAGTTTTGGCTACAGATATTTGTCACATTTTTATGTATTTCTGGCTTTTTTTCCCCCATGCTGAAGTACAAAAGATTTGGGGTTCTGTTTTTTAATTTACTAAATTTCTTTCATGTGCATGAGTGTTTTGCTTACATGTATGTGTTTTCATCACTTGAGTGTTTGGTGCCACAGAAGATAGTATCGGATGCCCTGCAACAGGATCTAAGGATAATTTTGTGTCACCATGTTAATGCTGGGAACCAAACCCAGGTCTTCTGCGAGAGCATTAAGTGATCTTAACTGCTGAAGCAACTCTCCAGTCCTAAACTTGACAGATTTCCAAAACTTTACTTGCATGTGTGCACACACATACAACAAAAACTGAGTGTTAAGAGAATTGAGGTTTGCTTACAAATCTGTCAGGGATAGGAGATGACTCAGTACATATTCTGGTTAGATTTGGTCAGCTTGACAGAAGCTAGAATCAGACTGGCATGTGAAGAAATGTATAGGGTATTTCCTTGATCAGTGATCGATATAATAGTGCTCATTCCACTGTGTGTGGTACTACCCTGGGCAGGTGATCTTGAGTTGAATAAGAAAGCAATTTTAGCAAGCCCATGAGATCAGGGCAGTGTCTTCATCAAAGGTCTATTGTTGTGAAGCAACACTGTGACCATGGCAACTTCTATAAAAGAAATCATTTAATTATGGCTGTCTTACAGTTTCAGAGGTTTAGTCCTTTATTGTCATGGTGGGTAGTGTGGTTTGCACACAGGCAGACATGGTGCTGAAGAGAAGCTAAGAACTCTAAATTCAGATTAGAGGGGACAGGAAGAAAGACACTCGGTCTGGCTTGAGCGAAGTGAGAATTGTGTAATTTTGGTTACTTTAAAAAACACAGAAATGTTATTGGAACATGTTTTTGTTTGGGGGCTGCTTCACAGCAGGTGACTTTGCCTCATGCTCTAGCTGAAGCATGATTTTGTCAGCTGCAAATAGTTTCTGCGGGTGTTTCACATTTGAAAGTTAGTGAATTTTCCAGAGAATGCCTCAATGCTCAGCTATCTCTTATACACGTCTGCCCACATGCTGACATTTTCCGTACCATGACGACAGTGGACTAAACCTCTGAAACTGTAAGCAAGCCCTAATTAAATATTTTCCTTTCTAAGAATTTCTGTGGTCAAGGTATCTCTTCATAGTAATAGACCACTGACTAAGATGAAACCTGGGTATTTCTCTGACAGGCCTTACCATATTTCTTAAAGGAGGGTCTTATGTACTATGCATTCAGATACTGATTTCTGTACCCTGAGATTTGGTTACAGTGGGGGCATGGATGTATATTATCATAAAATTTGAACCATCTCCTGTATCAATGTGGTATGAGGAATGCTCCCAGTTATTTCTCATTGGTTAATAAAAGGCTGAACAACCAATGACTTTGCAAAGGAAAGAGGTAAGCAGGACTTCTGATAATGAGCCAGGGGTTCGAGAGAGAGAAAGAGAGAATGAAGAGGAAGAGGAGGCCCGTAATGTAGTAGGAGAGGGAAGGTCGCCAGAATTGGGGATTGTTAGGCAGGATGGATCATGAACATTCACCATGAAGACACACATGGAACAGATTAAGCCAGAACAACTCTGAGAGGGCAAGTAACTTGGGGAGTGTGGCTTGGAAGTAGTAAGTATAATGTAGAGAGTTAGGTTGCTCAGTTATTATGCTTAAAGCTCATTGACAATCTTAAGGTCTTTGCCTCATTATTGGGGAGCTAGCTGAGATAGAAAAAGCTGCCACTTTTAAATTTCCTACTATACATGCTGCTTGTTTGCAGAATGTGAACTTTGGAACTTTGGATTAGGAAAGCAGTTGAATGCTTTAAGTGGGACTTAATGGTCCATATTAGAAGACTAGAAGAGCATGGAAGACAGTGGTACTAAGAGCACTGTAGATTAGGACGGCCTGGCTCAGGAGTTTTCAAAGGAGAATATAAATGGCCTAAAGACCATTCTTACACTATTTTGGTGAATAATGTGGTTGCTTTCGGTTCTTGTTTAAAAAAAATCTGTGTAGTGGGGCATGGTGGCACATACCTTTAGTCCCAGCACTTGGGAGGCAGAGGCAGGCAAATCGCTGTGAGTTTGATGGCAGCCTGGTCTACAAAGCAAGTCCAGGATAGCCAAGGCTACACAGAGAAACTCTATCTTGGGAAAAAAAAAAAACAACCAAAAACAAAACAAAACAAAGCAAAAACAAAAACAAAAAACCAAATCAAAACAAAAACCTCTGTATGAGGCTAAAGTGAAGAATTTGGATTAATGGAGTTGGCAGAGGAGGTTTCAATATAGTCTAGTTTTGACTCTATCATAAGGTCATTCATGGTTACTGTTATGCAGATCTATAATGAAAAGGAGCAAGGAAAATACAAAATGTACAATTTGAGGAGAAAGAAACACTAGGATGTAAAATGGAGCTAAGTACAGGGCACAGGGAGGTTAAAAGTTTAAAGAAAAGTGTGATGCCAAATGGAGAAAGGGAGTGGGGACCTCAATCAAGACTTCACCCAACTAACCTCACAGTTTATGAAAAGGAATTAAAGAAAAGCCTAAGCAGTGAGAGAAACCATCAGCAAGCAAAAGCCAATAAATAAAGAATAGGAAGAAGTTCTAGCTTCATCAAGCAGCAGAATTTGGCAGCTTTAGCCATGTTGTTCTAGTTCTAGAATCAAGGATAAAAGAAGTTATGGAATCTCTCTATGATTAAGAAAGGCCTTTGAGGACAGACAGGCCTATATCAAGGGTGTACCTGCATGGAGGCTCAGAGAGGCCCTTGCATGAAGCTGGAAAAGTGAAGCCTGGATTATCCTGGGGACTCCAAGAGGTTGGAGATGTCAGAGCCCTGGGATACCAGCCAAGGAAACCTGTTATCAGAGAGTGGACCCAGCACAAGACAGTGTATTGTACAACTACAGTATGTTGTAGTCAGCAAAGCTGAAAGGAGTTGGGAGATGAAGAGCACTTTGACATCACTCATGGAGCTGCAGAGATTTGAGTTTTCCCAGCTGGTTTTTGGTCTTAGTTTGGTCCAGTATTTGGTCACTGTGCTTCCTTCCCTCTCTTTTGGAGTGGTGATGTATATCCTGGGCC